AGAAAAGGTAAGTAGTTTAGTTAATTTTACTTAAAGTTTAGTAGTAACTAAACAAAACTACGACACTAACTATAGTTAGTTTTAGTAAGTTAGTATGAGCGTATATATATATATATATATATATATATATATTCACCAGTAATGTATTTCATTAGACTATATATTTGCATTACCCAAACGGTCCCAGGAAATGCAGAATATTTTACATTTTCTGAGGTAGATAATAGCGAGTTTCAAAACAAAAGCATGCATAAGAAAGCTCATTTTCTTAAGCTAGTATGAAAGTTCATTATTCGACAATAGGGGTATTCCACTTCATAAGTGTGTGTGTGAGAGAGAGAGAGGGGGAGAGGTAAAACATCCACCTCCCAAAACAAACACAAAACCCAGGCATGACAGGCCAAAAATGTCATCATAAGAATGTAAGCCCAGCATCATACAAGGTAAACCAGAGAAATCAAAATCAACACATATATGCAATTGTTCCCCTCATTTTTCCATCACCATCCATAATTATTCCGTCCATAAACACACTAGCCATGACCACCGATCATACAACAAAGCTTCATAATGCGTCCATGCAGCCAGTGCCTCTTCCCAAATTCGAGAGGGGGATCGGCTCGAGCAAAAGGAACATATCAGACCTTCTCTCTCAAACCCACCCTACAACAACAATACCAGGTCTTCTCTCTCTAAACCACCCCACAACAACAATACCAGACCTCTCTCTAAACCACCCTACAACAATAAACACAGCACCAACCAATCTGATGCCCTGCGAAACCAGGACTTCCGATCCATAAGGCCACTTTTGTTAGTCCTAGTAGTCTCTCTCTTTTCCTCTTCGATATTTCTTTTATTTGTTTGCCAATCTTTTTTCTCTTTTATTTTTCTTTTTTTTTTTTTGGTTTGAGAATCTTGGATAGCAGTAGGCAAAAACTCGGTATAACTAAGCAATTTTAATATCTGAGCTAGTTGCTTGGGCTGACGTTATGTGTACCTTTCCATGAGTTTACCAAGCTGCTCCAAAACCTCTCTCTCACTCTCATCGCCAGTGTGTGCTGTGAGAGATGAAGAACCTGAAGTCAGGGTGCTCGACCTGAAGGAGCCGGATCCAGTTGTCAGCAGCCTGCAAGAGAGAACTAGCCAATTGGCGCTCGCAGACTCCATTAGGTGTCCACACTGATAACTTGAACTTATAGGAGGCGAGACCGAAGCTTGGTAAAGACAACTTCAAGGGCCTGTCTATGTTTGAGTTCCAAGACTGACCTTGAGCACCAGGTAAACCTGTGAATTGCACATCACAATAGATGCCCATGAAACCAGTTATGATGAACTCTCTCTCTCTCTTTATCTCTCTCTCTGTGGAATTCAAGATATCCAAACTTCAAGCAAATGAATAGAAACAAGTAGTTAACAAGTTATAACAACGGTAAATTGAGCTATTAGGAGAAAGCAGTTACATTTGAAGGGCGTAGAGAGAGAGTGGTAAGTAAGAAAACATGCATCTAAATCTTGCAGTGTTGGCCCTGTTGGTATCCTGTATATCGGGTACCTACATCACATTACAAGAAGATGTCAATGTAAGATATCTTATGATAAAGGCATGTATTTCAGAATCACATCAAATGGAGCACGTATTAATAAGACCTACCACGCTACAGAAATCCAACTTGCTGGTAACAAATCACAGCTCCTTAGTGTCAGAAGATCAGGAAACTGGCATGCAAGATCTGATATCTGAGACAAGAAACAAAATGGTATTAAAATAAAGAAACTGTAAAAGAGAGGTGATTTCTCAGTTATTTTTCAAATTTTTTGCTTTCAAGATGACTCCTCAAGAATCATGGAAGATGTGAAATAAAGTTTGATAATTAAAAAATATCTAAAAATTCAGAAATGATAAGGAGAAAGATATAATGAAAAAACTTAAAAAAGACTAAAAAGGGAAATATATACAATGAGACCATTTACTTTGATAAAATGAGGTCACAATCCTCATTGACTGCCAGATTTTGAATCGGGTAGTTGAGGTGTGTAATTATTTAGGCACAAAGTTCAAAAAAAAAAAATCCAAATGTTGGGACACACTTTCATCTATTAGATTTCACATCCGGTGGCCATAAGTAATTGCGACCTCCTTATACCAAAAATAAATGATCTCATCGTATACAGTCCTGATAAAAGTATATAGCTTACCTTGTCAGCCAAAGGTTCACGACAATATGGAGGATCTTGTTCAAAAAACTCAAAAACAATACCGCCTTGGGAGCTGCAGCCCTCCCCATCATCACTAGAGAACCCTTCTTGACAAAGGTTCTGCTCATTATTATCCCCAAGGGAGAGTCTATCCATCTGGACCACGTTAGATTTGCTTGTTAGGTGATGCGGCCTCTCGTATTTCAATCCCCTTTCAACCTCAAAGTCACTGCTTCCATCACTGCTTATATCCCTGTAGTACTCCCCATCACTCTCCTCGCTTGGTCTCCTGTGGAAGAGAGGAAAGAACCATTAACTTTTATTGCTTTATGGGAGAGAACAAAAGCATTTGTACACCCAACACCAAGACAGGGATTCAGGACACCCACTCATTCCTCCAAAAGATTAACTTTTTTACCTATATGCAACTAAGGTCCCATCTAAATCCAAGGATGCCATCACAACACAACAAAAATAAGACTTCAGAAGAATCACTAACCAACTCACCCCCATAATCCCTAATACACAACATGCCACAATAAAATTTGTAAGAGGAGTCAAAATCTGCTCCCTTAAACAATAAAATGATGACAGAGTGAACCAACATGGAAAAGATGCAACCAGCGATTTGCTGGACAACTTTAACATATGTAAAAAGGTAAGACTTCAATCTCAAGATTTATTGGTTAGAGAAGCCCTTGCAAACCAATCAACAAAAACAATGAATCCAGTGATTCGCGCAACTAACACATGCAGAAACAAGAACGAGCATCTGCCAGAACAGAACTTCTGAGAGATTATTGATTAAAGGAACTCGTATATTTTAAAATCCTAAAAACTTAGAAGTGCATGGAATAGACAGTTGATGAAGTTCAATATACAACAATTTGAGAAATGGAGAAGTTAATACCAGTGCAAAACAAGGCAGGAAGCCAGGAACTTGAATGCGAACGTGAAAGCTAAGTAGGACAAATGCAAAAGAAGGCACGAACAAGAAAATGAATGTGAGAATGGATCACATGTAAGTGACAAAGTCATAGGTGCAGTTCTTTTAAGAGAAGCAACCACCTAGCACGCAAGGGGTTAATGCACTATGCTTTCATTGAAACTGCAATAACAAGATGTATCGTACAGTTTTTTTTTCAACAAATAAAACAGGAATCTTTCAATTTAATCTAAAATGAAAAAATAAAATAAAAGAAAACATGATGAGAATACAAAGTTTGTTATTAAATTGTGATGGCTTTAATTGCATGCTGTGACCCCCTTATCACCCCCAATGTTCAAGAAATTTAAATATACAAGACTAAGGTTTAAAACATGCGTCGAGCATGAACTGAAAAGCGTGTTGAAAGAGATGGTGCCCAAAAATGTCATTGTTAGCTAAAAATAATATCCAACAAGCATTTTACATATTCCCACCCATATTTTGGGTAGGAATAGCAAACACACATACGAGGCACAAAAGCATGGGTGTCAATAACAATCTCCTCTAAGAAAAATTGCAAATAAATGTACTTCTACAAAGACTGCAAGATTATCAAGATTAAGCAAGTTAATCTGGTAGTAGAAGAGTGGATTACAGATAAGGATATGTCTACTTCCCAAAAGAGCTTTGCAACGTAGATAGAGATCGAAGTCATTCCAGCCCTCTAAAATTGCCGAAGCAAGTAGACATGTACAATCAAGTAAGAGATAAGTACATGAGGGGAAAGAATAAGCCTTCCGAAGAATAGATCGTGTGAAGAGCAGGTAGAAACCCATGTGGACCATCATGGAAACAGGTACATAATGAAGTTTTGTCAACCTTTCATGCTGCAATCCAACCAAAATCTGCAATTTCGCTGGGAGAAACAGGTTTCATATCATTGTTGGGAAAAAATCTGTGAGAGCCGATAGGGAAAAAAATAGCACACAAGTCTCATATCATGAGACCTATTTGATTATATAGGAGGAGATGTACAAAACCAGTGACTGGCTGGAGTGGGTGAATTGCCGAGAGGAATTGAGGACCTACGGAATTTTCACTTAGCCCTTTGTGGAAATGATTATAAAAATTAACTATAGAGTTTTAACTTCTCACTTTATACAATTGGTGATCAAATCTCGAAGAAACTGAATGTTTGACTGCTATTTCTCTGTTGCTTTTATCAAAATGGGAGAACTATACTTGCATTCAATGGGCAGTAATAAGGTATTGCAGTTAAGGGATATGGCTCCCCATAATCGCATACTTCTATGTCAAGGAGGTCAGATTCTAAGTGGGAAGGGACTCCAGTGAGTTTCTTACTCCACCAGTACTAAAAATATATGAGTTCATTGAATGTAGGCCAGAAGCGTAAAGCTTTTTTTCTTTTGCAGAAAATACAAAAGAATCGATGGACCAAGGCTTATATAAAAATTGTCAGCTAAGTGTTTGGCTGCTCCGTCTCCAAGTTATAAAAGAGCATGCATTTAGGAACAACACTAGCTTGAGTGAGAGCAAAGGCAAAGTCCGTTGCTGCCCTGTTGTTACCAACTTGAGTAGACTGAGCTATGCAAACATGGTAAAAGCCTAAAAATTTAGATTTTGGAATAGCACTCACCAGACCAGACTGGTTTGAAACTCGCTACCTAACTTCAAATAAAACATAATCCATTGTTTTCTCCTAGAAAATATAGATCATAAATGAACGAGGAAGCCACTTTGGAAGCACATCAGTTTGTATTTACATGGTCACTTGTGCCATACACATCTCATTCCAAAAAGTGAAATGAAAATGAACATCAAAAACATTTTGAAATACTTCGACGCTAGAATAATAGGCGTGATTGGAGATGCAGAACAAATTAAAAGATTTAAAACTACCAAGAAAAACTCGAGACCTTGAATACAGTTTCTTCATTAAATTCCACTTCTTTTGTAAGTGTTATATTCGCATGTGGAAAGGAGAACTCTGACTTTCCAAATTACTAATAAAATAAAGATCTTGAATGAGAATAATTATCACACTTATAAAATGCATTGGCAATGCATCAAAAGGATAGTTTATGATAGCACGAACGAAACTCAACAATCTTTGTAGGAAGTAGGGGGGGAAAAACAATCTAAATTTGCATTTAAAAATGACAAAAAGCAATTTCACATGAATGATGAATCATCCGATAGGGTGGAAGAGTTTTCCTTATCTACACACACCTACTTGAAATTAGGAGGCGGCAAAGACATATTTTCTTCTTAGCAGTACAATATTTCCCAATTCAGTCACTTACCTTGGGTACATACATGCATACCAACATCCTAGATCTACACACAAACATAGAGATGCAAGCATGTGCCTAACAGGTTGCATGCTATACATATATACAACCATATATGTGTGCATGAATGCATCAAATAAGCAATCAGGAAGCACTTACACATAGCATGGCCCAAAAATCTTTATCTTACCTGAGCATCATTCCGAATGCTATTTAGTTCCAGTATATCATGGAATAAAACTAGATATTGTAAAAGGTCTATTTTACTTGTGTTCTTCACATCCATTTCAGTATATTGCTCATAACCTAACATTGCTCAAAAATATATTAAACCAGGTTTGAGCTTTGATGGCATTTTTAAAGTTAACTATCGTCCAAAAAGTGCTCTTAAATTCAGTCTCATGATAAACCATCATACCAAGGCTCCAATATGAAGCAAATAAGCAGTGGACATGGATCCAACAAAATATTGATTATACATCCAAGATTCAGTCACAACCATTTTGTCAATCTTAGTGCATTAATAAATTCATTAGAAGGACAAGAAATTAACATAAACATTCCAAACCTATAACTTTTAAGAATAGTAGAAACTAACTAAATATATACCTCGTATTCACAACACCCTTCGAGGTATCTGCATAGAGTTGAATGGCAGAGAGGTATGGAACATAATATTGAATGACTGGCTCAACCCCATTTAAAACCAATGGTACTCCCGCACCATATGCACTCCATTCCTTGAAAGATTCCCACAGGTCTCCAAGGGTGAAGAAGGGTTGAGAATCCATGTCGCATGTTCTCCAACCCCTGCTACTCATCTAAACAAACAACCCATAAATCAGGAAATGGGAAAATAATCAATAAATAAATGCATAAAATAGATAACTGTTCTAGAGTTCAGACAACACCAATCCAAGCTATAAAATTCAATATCATTTTCAGATTATCATCATAAAATTGAATAAACAAATATGACAAGTGATAGAGATAAACTATCATTTTGAACAAAAACTGATACACATCGGCGGCATAAAACTTGGGGTAGAAAAAGCAACCACAAGGGAAACAATACGTAGGTAAATATAACAACAGAGATAAATGGCAGAACTTATACACAAAACATGCATAATAAAAAAAAACACAACTCACTCAGCAATGTACAATTACATGAAATGAAACAAAGATGCTGATAGAAAATCATAACTTTAAAACTGGATTCGAGATTCAAAGGTAAATGGAAAACTTTAAAACTCTGATAAATGATTTGCCAAGACCAATAGCCAAGACTTCAGTAATGATGTTATTTCATCATAGAGTTTTGGCATAAAAATAATAAATCTGTTGAAAGATGGACACAGAACAATAGCACACCTTTCTGGCAACAAGAAATATCATCCAGAAAATAAAGTTCATCAAGAAAATGTGAATCACAATGGCATCCAATGGCTGCAAGAAACATGATGGCTATCATAATCATGGGATACCCACAAAGTCTGAACCTAAAGCTCGAACAAGAAAAAAAATAAACAAACATAGTACTCGGAGAAACACCATTAAATGGAAGCAAATAACTAAAACACCAAGAATCATACCATAATGGTATAAAGAATTTGGATAACAAGATTTAACAAAAGCAATCTGAAACATCAAATCACTGAGGAAAATAGCAGGTAACACTCGACAGTAATCAGAACATCATAACCAAGATGAACAAAATACAACCATATTTTTCACAAGAAAAACATCTGAATCTCACACAGAGTTCATGGACCCTTAAAGTTTCCCTGAACAAAAGGTAACAACTACATGATATCCAGAGTAGAAAGACAGAAAGAACACTAAAGGACAAAGCATTACAGAACCATACAAAACGTAAAAAGGAATCAAGAAGAAACCGAATGCAACCCCAACCCTATCTTTTCCAAAGTGAATGACAACTAATAGAACCCAGCTTCAATCACAAGCAAGAAGGATACAGCGTCAAATAGCAAGCACAGAGAACAGGAAATGCAAAACAGACAGACAGCAATTAAGGCCATAGCTTGGGAAAAAATCAATCGTCCAATGAATACTGAAACATAGAGAGAGAGAGAGAGAGAGAGAAATAAAGGAAAATGAAAACAGTAGAAAACCAAAACAGGATCCGAGAATGACCAGAACCAAAACCTAGCTCATCCACATTGAATGCCAATAAATAGAAAGGGGTAGAGTTTCAATCGCTATCGATATACAAAAAGTCTCGAATAAACAGTATAAAGAACCACAAAGGCAGAAAGATTAAAGAGAAAGGAGACAGAGCGATCAACAATGGAAAACCAAAACAGGATCCAATAAGACCAGAATCAGAACCCTAGCTTGTCCACACCCAACGAAATGCGTAAGTAAAAGATAGAGAGAGAAAGGACACGGCTTGAAGTATGAAAAGATCAAAGTCCGAGAATGACTAAAAAACTCACGTTAGAAAGATACTGAGCTGGAACGTAAGGCGTTGTGGACTCCAAGAAACGGTCCAAATTACCAGGTCGAGGAGCCTCTCCAAAAGGCTTCAAAGAATCGCTTGAATCCGGCCACTGTTCACCAGAAAACTTCGAACCCGCTGGATTCCGGCCACTCTTCAGATGCTTCTGCTGTTGCTGCTGCCTTCTAGCCTGAAGGTTATAGAATCTGCTTGTTCCAAACATTTGTAGAGAGAGAGAGAGAGAGAGAGAGAGAGTCGCTGTAAGTTA